AAAAAGAAAGAAAAAATAGAAAGAAAGAAAGAAAATAGAAAGAAAGAAAGAAAAAAGAAAAAGAAAGAAAAAAGAAAGAAGGAAAAAAGAAAGAAAATAGGAAGAAAGAAAAGAGAAAGAAAGAAAGAGTGTAAAAATTAAAGAAACTAAGGATTTGAAAAAAGTTGAAGCAGAAGACGAAAAAAATCAGATAATATGCGGATATTAAGAACAAATTTAAATATAATTTAATTCTTAAACAGACGCTGTTTGCTAATTTTCTTTTCTTCTTCGTATTGCTATTATTATTATTATTAGATTTCTCATTTGCAACGTAACAACTTTAATATCATTATTATTATCATTATTATTATTATTATTATTATTATTAATAATAATAATAATAATAATAATAATAATAAAGCTTTCAGTTTTCATGATTCGCTGTTCCATACAATTTTCACGATTTTTTTTTTTTTTTACCCAAGTCCTGAGGTTTGGCGAAAGATTGCAAGCTTTTCTTACAAACTTATCGAGTACATTGCATTGAAAGAGTTTCTTTTTCCTGGGTATGTGAGTGATACTCATGTTCACAATCTATTGTATCTGAGATAGTGAGGGGGTTCCCGGGATTTAATTGTATATTTGGGCAACAATCCTTCTTTTATACAAGTTCCATTAAAAACGACTTACATGGCACAGCGCTGAAGTTTTTTTTTGTTTCTGTTTTTTTTTTATTTAGCTTATCTTTTGTTCTTATAATTTTCTTCTTTTCTTGACATAAAGTATATAGAAACTCTCCGAATGTTCATTATGTTCAAGTGCTTCAGCGTATTGTAGCCGTTTTTAGTGTTGAATTTTTCTTATTTATTAATAATGCTTCCATTATTTTTTTCTCCTTTTTTACATGTGAATGAGGCTATTATATTTGCATAATTACTTCTCATGTAAATACACATGGAAACGGGATAAACACCATCTGCAACATACTCATTAATAATATAAATATGTAAAAGGCTAAATATAATATAATAGTAGATGTATTATTAAACCTTTTAGTCCTGCGTTCCTGAACAGTCTGCGTTCATGATCCATTCTGCCTGAGCTCCTGAGTCAAAATTCGCAAATAACTGGTATGTAATATTTCACGGTCTCCATCCCACTCTGTTCTTTATCTTCATCAATGATCTTCCGGACGCCATTGATTCTCAAGTAGGCATCTACGTCTACGCAGACGACACTATAATTAACTCCTGCCTCAAAAACAAATCTAGTGTCGTTGACAAAACTAACCTGGCCGTTTGTCTCGAAAAGGACCTCCAATCGGTTGTGAACTGGGGCAGAAATTGGCTGGTTAACTTTAATGCCTTCAAAGCATAACTGCTCTCTATTACTCACCACAGAGATCTTTCCCTGTCCCTCATTAGAATATCTGACGCTCAACTTCCCGAGAGCACCTCTCTGCGGCTGCTTGGTCTCACATTGACTGCTGACCTGAGATGGAACAAATACATTGAGTCAATAGCTTCGTCCACCGCAAGGAAAGTTGGCTCCTTGTGCCGCGCGAGGAAATTTTTCTCCCAGGAATCGATCCTCCAGATCTACAAATCAACAATTCGCCCTTGCATGGAGTATTGCTGCCATATATGGTCTGGAGCCCCTTCTGCTTGTCTCGGGGTTCTTGATAGGCTCCAGAGACGGACATGCAATATAATTGGCCCCGATCTGGCATCTCGTCTGCAGTTGCTCTCTCACAGAGGTGCCGTCGCCTCCCTCTGTCTTTTTTACAAATACTTTCATGGTAACTGCTCCGATGAGCTGCTTTCGCTGGTTCCCAGACGTCATGAGTTCCAGCGCCTTACGAGGCTGGCACCCCACTCTCACCCCTTCACTGTCGAAACTCCTAAATGTAGCCGTCTCTTCTACTCCAATAGCTTCATGTCTCGCACCGCTCGCCTGTGGAACTCCCTTCCCTTTTCCTGTTTCCCTGATAGCTATAATCTCCAACTATTCAAATGTAATGTCAATCGACATCTTCAGTTGCCTTGATCTATCTCCTATCTTTCTCTTCATCCTATCACTCCTATCTGATCTCGCTCCAAATCCTCTATAACCGCTTGCGTGCAAGTGGATTCCAGCCCTGCTTGGGGTGAAATGCTTAAATACACACACACACACACACACACACACATATATATATATATATATATATATATATATATATAGTTACATGGTTGAACTGGTAGCTGTGCATTAAATCTTCTTCTCCTCGCACTGTTCAACGGGTGGCTGGGCATGAAGTCGTTTTCTCTATCACCGGTAAAGCGGTGATCAGGGCTCAAATGGTGAACTCATTGATTGTCGACATTTTTATAGGATGTTCCAATAACTTGAACATATTTTAAATGTGAATTAAGTTTAAGCGTCTAATGATTTTTTTTCTTTTCTTTCAGATTTAACAACTTTAAAAAGTTGTTTGATTGTTAATCTTTCCATGTTTGAAATTGCCAAAAATTTAAGT